TTAGTTCTACTACTACTACTACGTACGTAGTGGTACGAGAGTACTACTACTTCTTACTACACACAACGAACTAACGTACGGTACGTAACGTTAACTAACTAACGTAACGTTACGTCGTCTCTCTCTCTCTCTCTCTCTCTCTCTCTCTCTCTCTCTCTCTCTCTCTATTAACAACCTATTCCACTGAATTTATTCCATATAGCTTCTTTCAAAAATCAAAACTCCTAAGTTAATACAAAAATAAAAATAAATAAATTGAATTAGAGAGATTCATTTTATTATCATGTTGCATTTTAAACTTTGTTTTGATTATAAAATGTTAATAGACAACAAATACTCAACATGAAACAGGTTCTTAGTATTTACATATTTTTGACACAATAATGAAAAACAATAATGCAATTGCCACTATTTCTTTTAGAAACTTAAAAACCTAGATTTTTGAGAAATTATAGTGATTTTTTAAAAACCAATTGAAGCTGAGACCGGTCGATTCTCCGGTCCACCGATCCGACACAATTTTTGGGGTAGCCGATCCAAGTCACCGATCCTGTTTTTTTAACCTTGGTAACTCCGAAACAGTTTTAGCAAGAAAATAGTCTAATTGTTCTCATCTTCAAGTTTTAAGTAGTGTCTAACATGTTCTTCTTTTCCGCTTAAAAGGACCAAAATATATACTAAAGCTGTTAATTGTGGTTTTCTTGAACACCCAACATATAAAAGATTTAAAAGAGATTCCAGTCATACGATGCATCTAATAATATATATAAGATTATAGAATGTTAGTCTTCTATAGGAACTTTACTACTTTGCGAACTCTTAACCTTTTTCCATCTCAAAAATATGCCCTTCATGCTTGCTTTCCCTCATACTGATCACCACCTCCTGAGCCTGCAGTATAGAACCATGAGATTAGCAATCCAAATTCTCTAAAATCCTATAGTAAATGTGCAGAGCACTACCCAACAATTAAAAGTTTGCTGATAGTCTAACCTCTCCTTGTCAATTGAGTCTGTTTTTTTTTTATAAGTCAGTGGGGAAGACAGGCCCCTACCCATTTTTTCAAGTAGATTAGGAGTTAGCTTTTTTTTTAAGGTATTAGAGGAGTGATGTTAGTAGTGGGAATGGAAACCACAATGTGGTGACTAGGATGTGGGGTGCTACCACCACGACCCCAACCCCATTCCCAAAAAAAAGTGGTAAGTCAATAGGGATTTGGGCCCCTACCCTTTGATGAGAATGGAGTCAGAGACCTCACCATGGAGCTCAGCAATACTACCGGTAAGGCCCCAAGCCATTCTCAATCAGTGTTTTAAAATGCGGGATGCAGCCCTGATGGGGTGGGGGGCCGATGTGGCGATGCGGCCCGGATGCGGGTGCATTGCGTGATGCGGTCAATAAATGTAAAAATTCTAAAAAATCTAAAAAAATAAGTTAATGCATAAAAAAAAAATATGAAGGTGATATATGTGATAGTAGGTATTTTAGTTTAATGATTAACTTCAAAACTATTAGCTATCGGCGATTCTGTATCCAGTTATCCACCCATATAAGCATTTCCACAACGCAAGCATATCACACAATTTCTATCTTTGGGATTTTTAGTTTAGCATATTTCCAAGCCGGATCCTTATTACTAGAAGATTAGGAAGAAGACATTGCCCCAAAAATATGTATAATAGTAATATTGTACAAGAAGGAAAAAAATGTTACCGACTTTGTGAAGCACTGCTCGATTTCTTCCCGACCTCTGAAACCCCAGATTTCTTATCACAAATTCACCCTAACATCTCCAAATCAACGATCAAAGGCATCCAATGAACATCCAAGTACCAAACTACTGCCAAATCGAAGATTTCGATGAAAAAACAATTTCCACCTAAATTTTTTTTACCTCAATTTAATGCAAAAAAAGCCACAAAAGTGGCTGAAAATCTTCGTTTAGGGCCCCTAATACCCCCCCCCCCCAAACAGTTTCCCTAACATTTGGATGGTCAAAAAGACCATTTTACCCCTCCCCGAGGGGCAAAACAGAAAAAAAAATTGGCGGACACTGTAGCAATGGGATGCGGTGTGATGCGGCCTAATGCGGCGCATATGCCAAAAGCGCATATGCGCCTGTTCTGATGCGGATAAGAGCGCATTCTGCATGATGCGGCTGCATTTTAAAACATTGTTCTCAATCAATTGAGTCTGTTGGTGAAACTTAAAAGCAATATCCCCAAAAACTCGTCATAGGGTTAAATACTTCATTTAAGAAGTAATTATGCTTAAAGAAGTCCTGGAAAAGGAATGACTAAGAAAGGCTACTATAGAGGAAGTTGAGGAACTAGAAAAAAGTTATTCTTTGGATGTGGTAGTTCTTCCCCTTGACATATTTACAGGGTTCAAACATAGTCCAATTTGCCCACCATACTCAATGGATTACTACAAATTGAAAATCCAAGAGGAAGAAGTAACCATACTCAATGGATTACCACAAATTGAAAATCCAAGAGGAAAAAATGCTTCGCATTGGACCATATTTAATCTCTCGGAAGGGGCATCACGCAATGCACATGTCATTTGCTAGTTACATTCTAACCTCATGACCATAGAGATCAGTTGGTCATGAAGGTCATCACCATTCAGTCAATGAGTTGATCGATGTTGGACAGAAAGAGTGAGACTCAGCATCAAGGAATGTCATACATGGCTCCCACTCTCTCCATCACCATCCAGCCCATGGCTTGGCTGCAATGTCCATCATGACCATATATTCCTTACGCCACTCTTAGTTTGACCAGCCAAATGGAATTTGCTTGACCCCAAATTTTGGGATTGTTATAAGGGCACCAGATGAACAATTTCAAGAAAAAAAAAAGGAGGATTTTAAGTATATTTAACCATAGATTTAAGAAAACATCAAAATAGAGAGTTGGCATTAACCCGATTTCTCTCTCCTTAGAAAACCACTTTTTAGTTTTGTTTTTTTCTCTGTGGGAATGTTCACCAATGTCGAGAGGAAGTATGTGCAAAGTCTGACGTTAAACAAATGCCCCTAACAACATTTTTTTAAAGAGAAAAGGGCGGGGAACCCCCTAGGGGAAGGGGTTGGGGCATGTAATTTCTGCAACATTATCCCAGGGGCAGATGTAATATTTTTCCATATGTGCGTACTTTGGAGAGCCAATGAAAAATAATTTGTGGGTGTGTACGATCAATCATACACAAGCACTTTCCCTTGTTATGTGAACCTTGCAAGCACCATGGGAGAGTTGATTTCAGGGGTGGCAACATCATCCAACTGCAAGGTATCTATAATTACAACATGCCTCAGAATGCATAGCCCTATATATACATACCTACATCCATACATGCATAATGAAGCTTAACCACTAAAATTGCTGGTAAAAGACAATAATGATCACCATACATGGTGAAGCTCAACAGAATCCAAGCCAAGTTCATTGTTAACTACATCCAAACTGTACATATGATGCTTCCCAACATGAAGAACATATACGAGTTTTTGGGTAGAATTTTGGGAATTCATCGGGGATATTCCATTTCCATAAGTTTATTATGATTTATCATAAATTGGTGAATTAAAGATAAGCAAGTAGTTCCAAATTAAAGCAAGCATCTAGTAATTATAAACAGAATCCAGCCCACTAATTAAAAAATGTACATCTAATAAGTCCGTTAACGTTTAAAATAAACCAAAAGCAATCTACGCATTAAAACACTGAAGTTTGGTCCATATATAAGAACAGGAGCATGAGCATTTTCATTCACAGTAAGATCCATATTTCATAATCATCAAAGACAATCCAAATTTTCATGTGAAAAGTTTAAGATACTTCACGCAGGCTCATACACAGCAGCAATTAAGTTAGAAACCAATCAATTTGTCAAAAAAAAAAAACTAGGATAAGAAAAAGGACCAATGCTGGTCAGGCACTCCACAAAAGCGTGAATTCAGAAGATAAAACACAAAGGGGTGCATGTCAGAGAGAGGGAGATGAATCCAAAAATGAAATAATAGTAGCAGGTATTCGCAGGGGAAGTCTTACCCCAGTGGGCTGCGCGT